GTTGTTATTAAAAAGTCGAATCCGTGTTGTTGCCAGTCCTTGATTATAATTAGCACCTGGGGGAATTAAATATTTAGCATTAGTAATGTAACAACGCAAAGGACACAAATTTCTATTTTTGCAATGAAAGCAATGCCACATAAGTGCGAACGCCGGAGCCGACAGCTGTGACAGCCCAAACAGCTTGGGATATTTCAATAAGACACTCGTCGGACAGCTAGACTTGCTGGGTTATTATTTGGAAAAAAAATATATCTGTGAGCAGAAATCCCTCTGGAAGGCTGTTACCCCAAGTATTTAAACGTGCTTGCCGTGCCAAACAGTTGAGCAAACGTTTTGTGATAAGGACTTGAAACGTAGAGTTTTCCCCAACCAGCCTTTTCTTTTTTTTAAAAAAAAACCAACAACTAAAAACTCAGCTTTTAAAAATACGTGTGTGTGTGTGTGTGTGTGTACTTCCTCCCCCCCAATGGGGTGTGGATGAAGGGATAAGAACACAGAGATTTGTTTCTTTTAAGTTTAATTACATTTTAAGCATCAGTGCTTTTGGTAAAACAACATGAGAAGTTGGGCTGTGAGGCCTTAATGAGCTGCAGTTGGCAAAAGAGGTCTAGAAAGCCAAAGGCATTTCTTCACGAAATGAATGGGATAAAAGGAGCTGAGCTGAGCTTAAGCCCACTCTGATGGTTGAGCTAAGCTTAAATCCTTGCATTAGAACTGGGACTCCTCTCAATTTTCGTTGTTTTTTTTTTTTTTTAATTTGATCACGTCGAGACCTGAAACAGCTGCCTGTTGCTGCGTTTATTGTTTACAGCAGACTCAGTTATGGGTGGATTTAAACCCTAAGCCCAACCTTCTCAATATGCCTTCATCTTTGAAATATTTCTTTCTGAAAAGCTGGTCGGGGAAGCGAAAGCTGAAAGGTGAGTTAATTCAGGGGCTGCTTTGTTCTTGTTTCGAACAACGACAACCAATATCCCAAAAGATCTTTCTAGACAGAAAATGCACCTTGAGTAGCTAGAAAGATACCTTGTTGTCTGTAATCGTTGTGGTGTGATGTATCTAGTATCCAGATTTGGGGTATGATTTGAAGATTGTTCTTTATTTTCAACACCTGTTTCTTGGATAAATAAGCTTTTTTCCTGTCACTCTCAGGAATTCTGTTTGGTTGTCTGCTTTTTTAAAATGAGTTTAGTGGTACAGGTAAAATGTTTCCATGTTAATATCACACTTCTTCTTTTACCTTTTTGAATAGTGTATGTGTGTGCGCAAATACAGGTAAGTCCTCAGGTTAGGACAGCAATTGAGACCGGAATTGGTGTCACTAAGCATTGGGGTTGCAAAGCATGAGATCATGGGACCGCATCGTTCGCCAATGGCCATCCCAGCAATCTTGGTTGGTCTCCTAACTACAGACTCATGAATGTTACTCAAGGACCTCATATCCTACCTTGCCAGCTGGGTGACTTTGGGCCAGTCAATTCCTCTCAGCCCTAGGAAGGAACCCAGGGCAGACCACTTCCGAAATCTTCTCAAGAAAACTGCAAGGACCTGTCCAGGCTCTACCTGAGAATCAGACATGATGGGATGGAAGGGAGAAAAAAAAAGTTTTTCTTTTCTTAAAAATCAATTTCTCTTTCTCTCCATCTGTTTCTCTCTCTCCTATCATATCATGTCTGCCTACCTGCCTACCTGCCTATCTATCTATCTATCTATCTATCTATCTATCTATCTATCTATCTATCTATCTATCTATCTATCTATCTTTATATCATCTATCATCATCTATCTTCATCTATCTATCATCTATCTATCTATCATCATTATCTATCTATCTATCTATCTATCTATCTATCTATCTATCTATC